GGCTCCGCAGACACACATACAGAGACAGAGGCAGGACTCGGCGTCGGTTGAGAACGCAGCGACGCCACACGCGTGCTCGCTCACGCAACCCATCTCAAGAGACGCACGGCGCGCGGACGACACGCCGCCCGCCCGCCGACCACCCGCCGACCACCCGCCTGCCTCCGGCGGACCACGAACCACCGAAGACACGCGTCGCTGCGACCGCTCGATTTTTCTGGTGTTTGTGCTCCCGACAGGAGGGAGATCGCCGGTCGCTGTGACTCCGCCCTAGTGCAATCTTTCCTCTTCTTCTTCTTTGCCGACGGTGGTTTCAAAAAGAGTCTGAACGTAAGGAAACAAGTTCCGAAATTGATGCACAACAGTGAGATCGACATTGTATTTTAGATCTATTTTCGAAATAGCCGCTATTTTTGCTAGGAAAGCCCTTTAGAGTCGAGTGTACTGCCGCGCAGGTCGCGTCACCGATTTCTCCTCGCCACCTGGGAAGTGTCACCACCCGAGGACACCTCATAGCATGTAAATATGTCTTCTCTTCTTACGTAGTACAACTTAGTCACCTGTAGAAACCTATTTGATTGCGGTAGTGTAGCGAGACACAGCTTGTGAACGTAGCTCTACATTTTGCACATGTTGAGGGCATGCCCTCCTCGAGCAGGCGATTCGAACGCCGCGTGTTTCTGGCGTCTGCGTCAAAAGCACGTCTGGACATGATATTTTTACTCGCAGTTTCAGCTTATTTTGCTCGGAAAAAGCAAAATGGACTGTTACGATAGCGTTTCATTAGAACAGTTTTACAATGCGTACTTTTCCTTTTCTAATAGCAAGAAACGGAAGTTAACGCAAACTAATTTTGGGCAGAATTTCACACTGCACGACCGTGCGAAGAAAGTTTGTCTTTTGCAACTTATACATCACAATGCTCACTATTGCACTATTCATATTAAAACAAAGTTTTACGCAATTATTTTCCGATATTCACACCACTCTCAAAAATTTAAGTTCTCTTAACCTGGATTTTCACGATTTTATGTGAAGGTTTTGAGTAAATACTAAACGAAAATATCTCAAATCACCTTACACTTTCACTCTCTTTTCACCTGGTACAATTTTTATTCTATATTTTGCTCATACCTTAATTTCGTATTTCACGTACCAAGAAATCTCTCGAGAATCATGAACGAAATTGTAACATTACCTCCCTGTTAATTTTTTACATTTTTTCTTGAAGGGAAGGAAAACATTTGAGATTTTTAAAATATTTGCTGCCAAGAAGGCATTGAAACGCAATCAGTAATGCGGTCTTTGTTGTATTAACCGCTTTAATATTAGTAAAAATATTAATTACAGTTGCCGTTATTAATTGGTTTCCTTGACATCAGCCATCGCATCGCGCAAATCCTTTAACCAAATGAATCGGTTGCGAGAAGAAAATCTCTCCCGGGCTGCAGCTAGAGCCGCG